CACACACACACACACACACACACACACACACACACACACACACACACACACAATATGAGTGGGGCAGTCCCACTCATTTTCCCTGCTGCACGGACCACACTGTTTGTGATGTTTATAGAACCTTCACTACATGAACTATGACGCGCTGGGCAACTCTTCAACCCCTTTTTCAGCATTTTGGCCAATTCTCTCTAAACATTTTGCCTTTTATGTTTAGTCAGGTCAGTTGTGGCCCCCAAAAGCCCTTCTCCAAAAGATGGAAATCTACTCACTGACATTGACACTTGCCCCATCCCACCATCCACAGAAAGTCACAATCTGGGTCTCACTTTGGACTCCACAGTTTCATCCCAGGGTCATATAAGGGATGATATCAGGACCGTGGACAGCTCCTTGGGGCATTTGAAGTAGCAGAATGTTTCAACATCGCTTGAAAAAAAAACTGCCAGCTTTTGAACCAAAGCCTCCCACTTGTCGCGTATATCTGAAACATTTTGTCCTGATTCCTGCAATTTGAGATTATGCTCGTTGAGATGTCCAGTTCTATCAGCAAGATACTTTCTACAGATAAGCCATCTAACAGCACAGTGGAGCGGGATGTCTTTGTATGAGCTATCCATCTCCTCGAGCAGAGACTGGAATTGGCAGTAAGTTAACGTTCCTGGGCCTGAAGCTGATTTTCACATACCAACCTCCCCAGTGTGTGCAGCTTTGCTCTAAGGTCCAAGACGTATTAAATCTGGCTTTTAGCTGGGCTTGGACCTTCCTTCCAGCTTCCCTTAACCAGGTCCAACACCCCCGTGACCTGGAGTACCTCAGCAAACAACTGAGGGTCTAATCAGCGATCCAATTGCGTAAATCCTCGTGAATGAACTTTCAAATCATGAACTTTAAAGTCTTTTTCAGCCTCTCCACCAGCCTGTCAGTCTGAGGGTGGTAGACACTAGTCCAAACAGATTTAATGCCAAATAATTCATACGGCTCTTTAAGTGTAGCTCAGAAGGGGTGTAGCCTCAGGAGGTAGAGCAGGTCATCTACTGACCGGAAGGTTGGTGGTTTGAACTCTGGCTCCCCTAGACTGCATGCCAAATATCTTTGATATTAAGATATAAATATCAAGATTTTAACCCAAAGTTGCTCTCTCATGCATCCACCTTTTAATGTTAGAATCTTAAAAGCACAGAAGAAGTGCTTGTGTGAATGGGTGAATGTGGCATGTTGTATAAAGCCCTGAGTCCTGAGTGCGGGAGAGTAGAAAAGCGCTACATAAGAATCATAAGACTTCAGTTACCATTTACCATTTAAGTGTGCAGTCAAATAAGACCTGATAATGGGTGCAAAGAGGCTTTTGGAATGGTCGGCTGGTTAACCATCTGACACTTCAGGCAGGATGCACACCATCAGCGCACATTCTTTTGGATGCCCGGCCAATAAAATATACCTTTTTCCATATCATCATTTAGTTTAGATGTTTGTTAGCGGCCCTGAACCTACACAGTAGAAAAAAGGTTGTCAATTTCCCCTTGTGGGACTAATAAAGGTATATCAATAATCAAAGGTGTCAGTGAAAGAGACATGCAGATTGTGGTCTGTAATGACATCTTATATAAGGGATTGTCGTTAAACCTTTCAAAAAAACTAATGCTTTAACTTTTCTTTGTCATTGTTTGTTGTAGGAACTCCATCGGCACATAGAGGAGGGCCTGGGCAAGAACATGTCGGAGAGGTGCTCCACCTCCATCAGCAGTGCACTGCAGACCACACAGAATGACATGATTGGTAATATGTCCACCTTTCTACTTCAACAGGCTCTGGTTTACGTTAAGCCACTATGAGGTTTTCAGCTATGATTGCCAAACACATGTGTATTTGTGGCATGCAACTAGTTACACTATATGGCAGGGGTGGGCAATTCCAGGCCTCGAGGGCCAGTGTCCTGCAGGTTTTAAACCTCACCTTGGGTCAACACACCTGAATCAAATGATTTGTTCGTTACCAGGCCTCTGAAGAACTTCAGGACATGTTGAGGAGCTAATTTAGCCATTTAAATCAGCTGTGTTGGATCAAGGACACATCTAAAGCCTGCAGGGACACTGGCCCTCGAGGCCTGGAGTTGCCCACCCCTGCTATATGGAATAGTTATTGTTTGAAAATTGTGTTGTTGTCGTTATTGCTGTTGTGTTGTAATTCAAAGCCAAGCTGAAAATAATTATTTATTTTCACAATGACGCTGCTGTTTTCTGTTCATGTGTGCAGAGGGTCTGAAGCCTTTGCTGCCCAGTGCCGTGAGAGAGCAGGTTGACAAGCTGGTGCCTCGAAGTCAGTGCTTCAGCCTCAGTTATGACCTCGCCTGTGACAAGCTTTGCAGTGACTTTCAAGAAGATATCAGCTTCCACTTCTCTCTGGGCTGGACCATGCTGGTCAACCGCTTCCTTGGACCCAAGAATACCCGACGCGTTCTCATGGGCTACAATGACCAGGTAACATTGCCAGAAGCATAAACTTCCTGAAAGTGTCTACATAAGCAACATTGTATACAATTAAAAAGCATATTTGATGCATAGAATCCTGAAACAAAAAGCATAATCACATACCTAAATTGATATAGAAAGCTTCCTTTTCACCTTCAGCTGTGTCCTACTGTTGGACATGACTAGAATAAAACCAGGACAAAAAGACCAGAGCTGGATTGATCTGTACAGGGCCGTGTGCTTTGTGAGGTTATTCGCTGTGTTGTCCATACAGGTTCCTCGCCCAATGGCCTTGACACCGGTCAGCACCAGCATGCCTCCATTTCCACAAAGCGCCATGACCCAGGAGGAGCTGATGGTCTCTATGGTGACCGGTCTTGCTTCCCTCACCTCCCGTACTTCCATGGGTGTTCTTGTCATTGGTGGAGTGGTGAGGATCTACAAACACACCGCACACAATTAGAATTGAATGAAATATTAAGGAAACAGATCTGTTTTGGTGTTCCAGAATCAAAGAGGTAGTGATGGGCAACAAATGTATTATAATGCTCTACAGAGTGAATTGCAAAGCTCTGAAAATGGGACAGTACTTGCTTTTCCTGTTGTGGGATGGGAGTTGAAATGATCTGAACTGTGATGTTTTTGATTACGTGCTGGCAAAAAACACAATAAAACCACAGCAACAGTGTTTACTCACCACCTGTAACACTTGCCAGAAAGGCTTTCTCATTAAGTTCATCATTTTATCATAGTTTTTATTAAAGAGTTATTCAAATTTTTGCACTATGAAGATTCCAAACTAACTTTTTGAATGCTGATTTTATTTCCTCATGCCTTTTGTTATTTCATAATAGCCAACCATTAAATGTAGACTTAGTGCTCAGCCTATGTTTCAGCCTGACCTTGGTCTTTCATTCTGTGTAGATCTGGAAAGCAGTGGGCTGGCGTCTCATCGCTTTGTCACTGGGCCTTTATGGGCTCCTCTACATCTATGAGCGGCTCACCTGGACCACCAAGGCCAAAGAAAGAGCCTTTAAGAGGCAGTTTGTGGATTACGCCAGTGAGAAGCTACAGCTCATTGTCAGTTACACTGGATCCAACTGCAGCCACCAAGTCCAGCAGTGAGCACACATAATTAGACTAATGTTACAGGAGAGAATGCCAAGTATATTTGTGATCCAGCACTGAATATTGTCGAGCCTTTCTAATGCTGTGTGTGGTTGACAGGGAATTGGCTGGGGTATTTGCTCAGCTCTGCCAGCAGGTAGACATCACCCGTCAAAATCTTGAAGATGACATCACTGACATGAACAGCAAGATCGAGCTGCTGGACAGCCTCCAGAGCAAGGCTAAGCTGCTACGGTAAAAATGCTAACCTCAACTGTGGCTCTTTGCTCATGCATGCTGTGTGTCTCTCTTTACAATGTAGAGTCTTGGGCGGAGTGATGAGGAGCAAAGTCCTGACTATCAACATATTTCCAGTTAAAATGAAATTGCAGTGGTGGAAAGAGCGAGTTAACTGTCAAACTTGTAAAACACTAGGCATTATTAAACATTTTGTTCACAGGTTACAGGTGACAAGCTATTTCAAAGAGTTCTAGGTCCCAACCTGCTGACAAGCTGGGGTCTTTCTATGTGGTGTTTGCATGTCCTCCCTGTGCCTAAATGGGTTCTCTTCAGTATCTGGGCTTGCTACCACAGTTCAAAGACAGGCACATTAGACTAATTTATGATTTGGAATTGGCCATAGGTGTGAATATGAACAGTTGTTTGCATTAGCCCCGTAAAACTGGTGATGCATGCTTCACACTAAATAAATTTGTAGGGCTGGTGTGATTCATCAAGTAATTCATTTAAAAATGGACACATTCTATGCTTTTATATGATGATGTAAACATGACAGTTGTGCCCACATGTGTGACTAAAAAGAGACCTGCAACAGAAATGTAATTAACAGCAGCATGTGAATAAAACTCCTGACAACATTAAACCCAGACAGCCCCCAGTTTTTAGCAAAAACATTGATAACACAACTGCAGAGAGTGAAAGAAAACATGTTTCTGGTCCAAAAAGAAAAAGCAGCACATAAACTGGAACCTCGAAGTCCACCAACTACACCAGGCTGTGCCAGGTTCCAAACTGAGTTGTGTAGCCATTCACAGCAGGGTCAGAGTGTTTTTTGCACTATGCCATGTTCAAGCATGATCTCAGGGTGACTATATTTCTGATCAACACATGCTGTTTGCAGGTGCCTCTTTTAAACATGCAACTTGTTGCATAATTGTCTATTTTTTTTAAACGTGTGTTTGCATTTGTGCCTTTTCAGGAATAAAGCGGGCTGGCTGGACAGTGAGCTCAACATGTTCACCCAGCAGTATCTTCATCACAGCAAGTAAAACCAGGTGGAACATCCTCAGAGGGAAAGAGTGGCACCGGAGCAACGTTTTGTACATCTGTTAATGGTCCCTCACAGGTGTATTTGAAGTCACTGAGAGAAATACTAACATTACTTTTAACAGAAGGCGTGGTTTGGATATCTGACATAAGTTGAAGGAGCTGCTAATTAGTTGTCATGTAGTTGTGTAGACGTGATGCCAGGATCAGTCTGTTGAGCTTGTCCGTGTTCAGTTGTGGTAATGTGCAAATGAACATGAACTGGCCATCTGTTGATGGCTCATCAGCACTGATAGGTCACACCCACCACCTTCTGTCAAAAACTCTGTCACGCTGTCCTTTAATGGAATTCTGCTTAACCTGGTACTTTCCGCCTGTATAGATGTGATTTTGTGTATACATGCGAACACTGGACAAATACAGAAGTAAGACACTCCACCAGTGAATGGGAAAGTGTGTGTGTGTGTGTGTGTGTGTAGTCATGGTAGTCCATGATATTCCATTGCGTCATGATGACACAGACATTTGATGTGCATTTCCTTTATTATTGCTACTGATAAGACACCCCACATCCGAATGACTAAAAACATCAGAAATTGCTTTGCAGTTAAATAATAGGAGATTTTATATAACCTTTTATTCTTTTTCTTGTGACGTTGTCAGATTAAGCCACTCTTGCTGTTGCAGATGTAAGGCTTTACTTTGATATGTCCCACCTGCTTACACATTGTTATAGATAAACCACACACACTCGAGTGAGACAGCATTTCCACCATAACAACGAACGTCTGAGGAAAGACAAAAGGATGTTGACCCAGCCTCCAGAGTTTAATCGGAGCAAGCTCAGTCTTACCTTAAAGGATCTGGGGCCAGACATTAGTGAACACTGCCCCCCAGAAGTCTGGTCCATGTCTTGATATGTCAGAACACTTTGATTGTTATTATTTATTTATTTATTTTTAGTCTCTTTAAAACAGCTGGTCATTGTTGCTCCGACTTGTAAAATGACAGAGGACAGCTGCACAGTTGGGCCTTTGTTTATCAGTAGCAGTGAATAATAAGATACAGCAGGTTTTGGATATTCACAGAGTACTTGTTAAGAGCAAACATTCACTGTTTGTTTGTTTTCTGATGCTCTCTGATTAGAAGAACATTTATAAACTTTTAGAAATGGTTTGCTTCACCTGCACCATTTAGCAGAATTGCAGAAAAAAAAGACTAGAGCCACACAGTTGAGCTTAGACTAGCTAAAGTAAAGAACATGCAACTTTATTAGATTTTTATTTATTAGATTTTTTTTTGAGCTGATTTCTAGTCCCAGCTTCTCACGGACATCACAACATCTTTGTGTTTGGTGTTTGGCTCTTCCTTTAACAAAGCCAATTTGAAAGTTTAGCACTGTGCAGTATGTGTGGAGTAACATTTTTCACTTCCATTAAATGTTGTGCTTTCAGAAGTGTGAGCAGAATGAAATTATCATTTTGAACTAGAAGCAGTGACAAAGAAGAAACATCACAGTAGATGTGATTTAATTGTCCACGGTTGTATACTGTTTGTGTTGCCAAATGATGCTGCTGTAATAACCCTGTTTTGTTTGGGGTTTTTTTTGTTTGTTTGTTTGTTTGTTTGTTTTTGGGGGGGGGTTGTTTGTTTTTTAGGGCAAATATATGCTTTTCATCCATTTGCTCTGTTTCTTTTGTTTTGCCCTAAAGCAAGTGTACACCAACAGAACAGTTTTCTGCCTTTGGGACATTGACAGTACCTGCATGCAGCCTTTACATGCAACTAGTGTAATTTCTTGCCCTATTAAAATGTGTATGTATGTGTAAAAGTAAATAAAGAGAAATTATCAACTATAAACTTAATACCAAATTTTGTGTGTGTGTGTGTGTGTGTGTGTGTGTGCGTGTGTGTGTGTGTGTGTGCGCGCGCGCGCACGCGCGCGTGTATGACCAATGACGTCTTCAAGGACCGGACATCAGGCATCGATCTATTTAAGAGATTACAAAAACCTTTGTTGTTATACTTCAAATTATTAACAGGAACATATTACTGTATTTTCATCCACACACTGTTGAGGGGAGAGAAAAATACATTTGTCATCATCATACAGAGCTCTCCTTTTCAACTTTTGACAATCAATCAATCAAAGCTTTATTCGCCACATGCAGGTTGCCCTG